ATGATAAAGTGGGATATTTCCACGCACACTTTGGAAATAGATTCAAGTGGGTTAAACCTTGATTTAAATCAAGTTGTCCAAGGTAACACTTCATACATCCATTAAGGCCAGCCCCAGTGGAAACTGATATTTCATTCGATTTTATGCAATCAATTAAAACAGGGCAAGAATTAAAATAACAAAATAAACAAATTGTTTAAAATGCAGTCTTAAAGATGCTGGTATACTTCTAAAAACCGAACTTGAATAAGGAAAACGAATTTACCTCACTATAAAATACTCGTGTAATGTACGCAATGTGTGAACAACGTTTCCTGGTAACTATTTCCTGTGCCTTCGTCCGCGTAAATTTGGAACTTGAAAATATTCTCCGTACTCAAATACTCATGGCCCATGGGTACCAATTCTTATGGTGATAGGTAGAAGAGTTGCAGTGCCACCGTCATCGAATTACGATAAATAGTGTAAAAACTCTATATGTTTTCTCCATGTAAACACACTTACGTATGTGTCAAAATTTAAAAGCAAACGGAGATTTGCGGTTGTTCACAAGCAAAAATTAACGTGTTTATTTATTTAGATTTCTTTTAATGAAAGAGTAGATTTGAGTTGATGTAGCTTTAAGAATTTATACTGTATAAAACATAATTTTCTTAGGGGCGTGTTCACGTGTCTTTATAGTAAATCATGGATAAAAAAATTACGAAACGATTTTTTAGTTAAAAATACTATATAATTACGAGTTGTCTCATAACGATATAACATTTCTTCTGTTTTTAGATAAGAGTTATTCAAAGTAAGCAATATTCAAATCCTCGCGATCAAGACACATTTTATTGGTTCATCCATCTTGATTTTCCATTTTACATGACATTAGCGTAATAGTTTTCTCTTATAATCGTATATACCTACCGCTAAGCCATCTGTATCAAATAGGTAATAAGAAAATATATGTAGATAGGGATTTATTTCCACAATATTTTTATTCATAAATTCTACAGAAACTTACGGTATATTTCAAAATATTATCCTTGTTTTTGACACGCTAATAATAATAACTTTTTTGTTTATAATCAAATAATGGGTAGCAGTTTGTCCAGCGCGGGCCAAGTTGGTCACAGTTATGTCGAAGTGCTGTTCATTGTAAGTGACCGTACGTGGCTTAATCAATTTTAATGATTTATACGTCGTTACATTCTACGTCTTGATAACGATAGTGTCATAGGCTGTATATGTAGATATAATGAAAAAGTGAAAATTGCGGTTTACAGGCGCCAATTAGTGTGTTTAAATTTTTTTCTTCTAAACCTATCGATTGGAGTATCAAAATAAAAGTTTTTAAGGGGCGATCACAAAAATATAAACAACATAATATTATATGTTAAAAGTAATTTGGAATAAAAAATAGCTAAATAAAACTCCAAATGTCTAACTGGCCAAAACTAAAAAGTAGTTTGTAAATAAAAAAAATTATAAAAATAAACGGACAAGTGCGAGTCGGCCTCGCCCACTAAGGGTTCCGTACTAGGAGATCTGTTTAACTTTACTTTTCAACTTTTTTTACTTTTTGGAATGTTTACTTTTCGACCCAAAACCTATAGGGTATTTCCGGTTGGCCTAGAATTGTCAATTTTGGTTAAAAGCGAGGTCTTACAGCACAAGTATAAGGAAAATTCCGAAAAATAAAAAATGTTAAAAATTAAGGTACATTTTGGTAATTACAAGTTTTCGCGAAAATCTAAATTTGCCCATATCTTTCTATCGTGTTGACTCAGGACCTTAAATTTATACACCTAATAGGGACAATAGACCTCAGTATCTGGTATAAATTTCAACTTGCTAGGTCCACCCATTCCTGAGAAAATCGATGGTGACTCACGGACAGACAGATGGACAGACAGACAGACGGATAAGAGAGTGATCATATAAGGGTTTATTTTTTTACCTCTTGAAGTATGGAACCCTAAAAAAGACTTCGTAAAAAGTGACCTAAATAGATGGAATAAGTTGTCGAAGGAAAATAGTATTAATTGATATTATTATTATTTTTTTATAATGGCTTCTAGTTGCGTTGATATTATTATTACTCAATCGGAGAAGTACATGGTTCATCCTTACTGCGAGATGTCGATAAGTATTTATGTCTCCGACTTTAGTTCGCTTTTTATACAGTCGATGTTTTTATATGACTTATAGAAAGGTTTACCTACAGCTTGTTTATTTTTTATTATACCAATTTATGGACAAATAATTTTAAAATATGATGTAGGTGTATTATCCTAATAAATATTTTTCTTTTAAGTGACAAAAAGCTATTAAGGTCATTTAGTCCCTACATAATTCGTGTTTTGCTCGTGGACGCGACAAAAATTCTTTGTTCATCAGTGACTCTGTTGTTTGTTCCGCAATAACTGAATAATTCAATCAAGGAACAAAAACACCTAAATTTTTTTTTAAAGTTTTGATAAATTGGCCCAACGCCTGTTAGTACTGTTTATAAATCAACTAACTTTTACACGTGGCTTTTCTTGTGTAACTAGTTTAGTAATGTATAATTAGGTACTCTGTTTTATATAACCTGTAATCTCAATAAATAGACAAAAAAATTAAAAAGGATTTTTCAAATCCTTCTGGTAATCCCAAATGAATGCGCTCAAACAAACGCTTCATCTTTATATTATTACTATAATAAATATCGATGTAACATTAGTCTTCATCAAACTTCGATTGCACACATTTTCATTTCATAGTCGCAATGATTCATGACCTGTAAAATACTAAGTTCTAAATGTACCATAAAATCTTCTATACAAATACTATAAAGATTTTATGACAATTTTGAGAACCGTTATATATTTAATATAAATATTAAGTCTAGAGTTAAACATTAAAAAATACCAATTGAATTGAGAACCTCCTCCATTTTGAATTTGGTTCAAATTGGTTAAAAACTAAATTCAAATTCATTTTTATAAAATTAGTAGTGACTTACCCTCGCTTCACTCAGGTCCGTCCCTAGGCTTAAAAGGCTTAGGAATTTAATATAAAGGCAAGCGTCTGAAGAAAAAATCTTTTTTCTGGGCCAGGGACTTTTGTAGGCATAGGTATACATAATAATACACCAGTTTCATTACAATCGGATCAATGGTTTAGGAACGCATAGAGGATAGTCTATCTATTACATACTATCCATTAAAATATACTTGGACCGAACCCAAACTGTGGTGGGTTGTATTACAACGTGTTTTCCCGTGGGAATAAGATAATCTCCCGCAGTAAAAAGTAGCCTATCTCACTCTCCAGCCCTTAAACTGTTTCCATCCAAAAAATTACGCCAATCAGTCACGCTATTTCGGCGTGAAAGACGGACAAACAAACAAACAAACAAACAAACAAACAAACAAACAAACAAACAAACAAACAAAGAAATAAACACATTTTCACATTTATAATATTAGTATGGAGTATGGATATGGATAAAATAAATGTCTCTATAAATACTGCGTTAAAGGAAACGGATCCATTCCCAGGACGATGTGAATGTTTTTAATGATCACAATCTCACAAGGAGGAAAATTTTAGTGACACGAGCAACTAAGCTTTAAGTAAATATAAACAGAAAAAAATATAGAAACATTTTCAACAGAGCTTTTATTAGAAATCGTATATAACGATATCACAGCTTACACATTGGTGACAGGGTATTAAGATTCTTAAACGGCTTTTTATATTACAATATTGAATAAGGATTGTTAAAAAATATATACAACCCACAATGAGCGGGAATAATGTTAAGCATGATTCAAATAAATAAATAAATATATATATATATATATATATATATATATATATATATATATATATATGCTTTGTATGGGCTGGCACCGATTTCGAAAATATTTGATTAGGTATGTATAGTAAATGAAAACTACCAATCAGTTATTTTTTACTTTTTAGTGCTTTTGTTTGAAGTCGGTTTTTATTTTTTTGTTAAAAAGTTTTTTTATTATTTTTGACGAATTTGATACCAAAGAGACAGAGAAATAGAGTTTTTGCAGTGGAACCCAAAAAAGCTCTATAAACTGTTTGTAAATTTACACTAGTATAAGTTCTAGTTTGACGAAATGCTTATCAATATAAACTATCATTATTTTCGCATTTTTTCGCGGATTTCTTTTTATTTTTGATTGCCGACGTATCTAATGATTTACAGCACGTCTTCGTTTGGCATCCAATAGCTTCCTTAATTCCTCCACGACCGCGGATACGCCGGCGTTACAGTTAATAATAAATTTCTTAGAAATTTAATAAATTTCTTAGAAATTTACCTGGAGGTGTTAATATTATTTTAACACAGTCTTCCACCGGTAGACTGGTAAATAAAGACTTTACATCAATACTAACCATTGTTTCATTGTTCAAGAGCTGTAAGTATTAAATTTTATTGACAAAATGGGCGTTCACATGAGCATTCTCAAGGGACTCTTGAGTCCCTCGTGAATGCTCTTGATTGTGCTCTGAGTGATGCGAGTACTTTTGTTACTAGTTTAGCCAAATTGTAAGGTAGAGTGTCGATCTGACTCACGATTGAACGTAGCGAAGCGTTAAGTTTGTGTATTAGACCCAGTAGTGTAGTCTAAAACCTAAGTCTGTCCCGTGGTCAAGAATGCTGTATAGCATTCGAAACGTCGGGAATCAAAAAATCAAATAAAAACTTAATATTTATATAAAAAGTTAATATTTATTAATCTATGAATTTAATTTTATTTTAAATTATTACTTGTTGATACTAAAGTTGGAAAAATCACCAAAATAAATGTGAAAATAATTTATTACATAATTGTAACGGTAACTAAGGATTCTAAATGTAATACTTACGCAGATATTCCATATATTATACGATCACATTTCACAAGTATAATATATTATCTCACAAACTAAACCCTAAAAATATGATTTCTATATACTTTCTATACTATTTGCAGTGATAAACAATTTTAATGTTAGGACCACTCAAATATATCATCGAAAGTAATATTGTAACACAAGTAAGTTCTAACTCCGATTATAAATGTTCTGAAAATCAAGACAGGATGCGAGAGACAAAGGCGGGCAGTCGGTGCGCCGCCAAACACAGACTCAGAGGTTTTCCCGCCCAAAGCTACGAGCTGCGCCGCGAGCACATGCATGTCATATGCATATAAGTGTCTATTATAAAAATTACCTGCTACCTGTACAGTACAATATCCTCACTTCTCTAATCACTTTTTATTCGATTACTGAGCTTCGTTCGCGTTCAAGGTACGTTTTAACGGTTAGTATGGAGTAAATTTATACATATAATAAAATTGTAACTAAGTCGAATCTGTACATTAAATATTTTTTGGAAAATATAATTGAAATAGACATTATTATCGATATAGAGTCCGAATCTATAGTTTTGAGAATTTTTGTCTGTCTGTTACCGCATCACGAGAAAACCACAGGACAGATTTTGATTAAATTTGGTATGATGATAGCTGGTTAGCCTGGTCAACATATAGAATACTTTTTAGCGCGGGAAAATATCTCATTTCTGAGAAAAAATACGAAAACTGCATTGTAAGAGTGTACTAATATGTAAAACCTAAGGATTTGGTTTTTAGTCATCTGAACGCGGGCGGAGCCACGGGCAATGCTAGTAGACTATATAATACTATGTATACATAGGTAAAAAAAAACTGTTCTGAACATCGATTTTCCAGTTGTTTTTCCTATTTTTTTATATTTAAACCACCCTTGCACCATGTGTTATGTACATTTTGCACAAGGATGAAAAGTGTACGTCTCCGACTGCATAATACTATATTCCATCGTTAACTTCTTTTCTACTTTTTTGTTAGCTTTTATGCACTAGGTTTTTTTTATAATATATATTTTTTTTTATTTACAGCTTTTTAGTTTTTGCCTATTAGACATTTGAATTTCTCTTGGTGACTACTGTAATAGACTAGACTAGAGAGATTTGACGGTTAGCTTTTACTTGGTTAGTGTATTATTTTACCTATATATTTTAAAATTTATTCTATTAACTCTGGCGAAACATTTATGATATGGTATATTTGCAATCTATAATATAATATTAGAAACATTTAAAAACAAGCAAGGAGAGTGTGAAACTGGCTGAAACGAGCAACAAAGCTAAGCTATAAAGCTTGTCAATACCGTTAACGTTTACCATAGGTATATACTTCTTCTTCTTCTGCCTGCCCATTTCCCAATCATATGGGGTCGGCGCAATACATTTTCTGTACTACTGAAAGGATTTGGCAAAAGTTTTACGACCGGCCTGCCTGACGTCAACCCTCCTTGGGAATATACTATATACCAACAATTGTTGCCTATTAGAAATGCTCTATAATATTATGCAAAACCTAAAAATAAAAATTACAAATGTTGCTTACGCAAATTGTAAAGTTGTTTGATGAAAGGCCACACATCATCATGAAAGGAATACGCCTAGACAGACGGATGCCTGACATTGATTATGACAATTCAATTCTTATGTTCTATGACTTCTAAGAGTGCCGTTTGGGCACCGTTTACTTCGCCAATGTCACGTAGAGTGGAGAAGACACGTTATACAGGTCATTTTTAATTTACTGAAAACCTTTTGGGAATATACTATTTACATCATAACAACAACATCTGTAACAAGAAAATATAATATTTCTTAATTTTTTATTTTCATACAAAAATAAAAATATTTTTTTTGCACCTTCTAAACTTTAAAGTTCTAGCATCTGGCCAAGTTTAAATGAGTAAGCGCGGCTTCATACACCCCTCCACCCCTCCCACTCCACCGGACACGCACTTTCTTTTGCTAATGCTGGACTATTACCGTTGAGAAGGTGCTGTAAAAATATTTTTATTTTTGTTAAATTTAAGATATACTTATATATTTTTTTTACAGATGTTGTTGTTATGTTGTAAATAGTGTATTCCCAAAACGTTTTCAGTAAATTAAAAATGACCCTATATATAGAAAGAACGGTAAAAAATTATGTCATATTTACTTTACTTAAATAAATATTTATTACATCATTTTATTATAATATTACTTCACACTACTTTAAAAAATTAAATTAAAACAATAGGAACTTTTGAACATTTATGAATAACTTGAGAAACTCATCAAATAATATAAGACCCGAATTCTCCAAATAATGAATTATGAGATTTACATGTTTACTTTGAAGATATCGTCTATTTCGTAGAATGGAAGATAAGCTAATAAAATTAAGTATTTCTATGGAACTTCAAGTTTAATCAAGTTTTTCTTATCAAATTGTTTGAATTATTTAGTATTGAGACTTAGTTTGATACTCGTATGAAGTTTACAAAGTAAAAGTTATCGATTTCTCCAATTTTTTTTTCAATTTTTAAGGCTGTTTTTACAAGGCATACAATGTTTTTGTTTTTTTCAGAAAGTAGAGCTTAAGACGAAAAAAGAGCTCTATCTGAAAATTGAATGATTTTTTTTTAATTTAAACATTCACTTGAAGTCGGGGGTGATTTTCAGCCTTCTGAGACCATAAAACATAAATTTCTCGGAAACGGCTTAGTGCTTAAAAATAGTAGTACTATTTTTCAACACTTTTCATGCCCCTATTTCTCGGGGGTAGCAGGACATCAGGAGCATTTTACGAATTTTTCTTCCTTATATACCTGCTAACGGTTTAAAGACAAAAAACTTCAGGTTTAAATTTTTTATTTCAGAACCGGATTGCGATCGGACTAAAGCATTTATATTGTATTTTTTTGGATTGTATTATAAAATATTTTCCCCTGTGAATTAGATAATCACCTGCAGTAAAAGTTGCCTATGTTACTCTCCAGCCCTCCAACTATCTCCACACAAAAAATCACTCAAATCCCTCACTCCGTTTTGACGTGAAAGAAGGACAAACAAACACACTTTCACATTAATGATATTAGTATGGATATGGATTTCTTTTAGTCGTCTTTATGTAAACATAAAATAAAATGAAGATTCCAATATTTCAAGTCATTATATGAAATAATTATAGTTGGAGCTCATAATAAAGCTTATTTCTTATCAATAATTAGGGCTTACGGACTCCTAATTAAGAAGATTGTTTTTATAAGATTATTTTGACCTATCGTAATTTTAATACTTTTTTAGATATACGCGAATATTTGACATTTTAAATAAAACAATCTATTCACGGGAGAGACTCTCCTGTGACCCCACGATTGATGTAAAGCACTCGAAAGGTCGGGACCAAAAATATAAATAAATCCGCGAAAAAATCCGAAAACATAGTTTTATTCTATCGTAATTGTTTTTTAAATTCCTTTTATTTTAAGAAATTATGAATTATTAAAAGATAATTAAAACAGTTAAATTTCACACTCAATGCACTCTTTGTTAGGAATATATAAAATACGTCCAAGATAACTTATTTTTCACAGACTACTAAAATATATATGTTGCGCTAGTAATATTTCTTATATCAATCTAAACTAATATTATAAAGAGAAAATGATTTTTTGTATGTTTGTACGTTTGCTTGTAATAGGTAAACTCAAAAACTTCTTAGCCTATTTTAAAAATTAAAAGTAGTAACATTGGCTGTATTTTATTTTCAAAAAAATTAGACATCCCTACGAAAATTGCAATAATGTAATCCAAGGTATTAAACATTTACCTATAAAAGTCATTATTTGGCGTGCGCTGCGAAAACTGTATATGGTAGATAAAATAATCTAATCTACTATTGATATGGTCACTATAAAATGTTGTTTTTTAATTAGTTAGGTAATAGCTGTAACAATTTATGATAAAGTTGTTGGATAGATAAGTACTGAATAAATTAACTTGGTTTTACATTAGATCTCAAAACTTTTAGTTTTTGGTAGAAGAACTGACTTGCGAGGCTTACCTTTTTTTACATCTTATGTTTTGGATGGGAATCGTGTTTTTTGGCACACTACACGAAAAAATTTTTTGCACATATGCCCGCCCAAATCAGTTATTATTTGTTCATCAGTTCGGTTAAAGAAGATAATATATTATGTATAGTTGAATGTTGCAGTATATTGGATTTATTTAAAAAAAAAATTGAGTCCTAGCGACTTACCCTCTTTTCGCTCGGGTGCGTCCCTAGAGTTACGTTTTAATTTTTTTTAGCGGAACCCTAATTCTTTTTCTAAAATAAAAGTACACTAAGTAACTTCTTATAACATCAGCTATCTGTTAGTGAATGTCCCGTCAAAATTAGTCAAGCCGTTTTATAGATTAGCCTGAACAAACCGACAGACAGATAGATAAAAAAAATCTTATGAGTACCGTATATAATTTCATATGCATTTAGTAAAAAGCTGTTATTTTGACATTACGAACAGATCATAATCGGTCCAACAGTTTCGGAGATTAGCCCGTACAAACAGACTAACAGACAAAGAAGAAAAAAAATCTGGATTTGTTCTATTTCTCTTCTTACATCTCTCTCTCTGACTCGGTTCTTAGCATTTTTTTTCTATGTACAGACACTCTACCTCTACAGTTTTATTATTTGTATATTATATATTACATTCCGTACGTTACTCGTACATATTTTATAAATAGACTATAAAAACTAAGAATATATTTTCCTTACATCAAATACATTGTGTACTTTCTAGAGGTATTAATAAGCAAATAGGTACTTATTTAATCAAAATGTGCCTGTGATCTGTTCGTCATGATCGTTTAATATTTATGCTTATAAAGATTTATAGGTTACGCCGCGCCGTGGTAAATTTAGCAAAAAATATTCTGAGCTTATATGTTTCTTTTGATAGATTGACTTTTATCATAAACAACTATGTATACTATTAATTCATATTACTCACTGATTATAATAAGATATACTCGTAGATAGATTTATCAATTTAAATCAAATGTGCTTAGCGTTACCAATTATTGTCAGAAAAATAAAAAAATAAAATTTACCGACACATAAAAAGCAAGTGGCGCCTAATTATATTATTAAGAATTAGTGGTTCAAGAGATCTAGCAATTTTTATTATTATTATTTTTAGTGTTCCATAGCGTAAAAGCAAAAACGGAAAGTGACTATGATGACGGAAAGTGACTTTATACGGAGATTATTGGAGGTACTGTATTTATCACCTTTCGAGATTTTTAGGGATCAAT